TGAACATTTGGGTGGCATTATGCAAATATTTCCATATAGTGTGGGTAGATATGTGGGGTGTGTTAGAACGAGCCGTTTTAGGGGGGCGTGGCAGAGTCTTAACTTTGATAAAGAATTTCTCTTTGGTTTTGAGACTTTAGTCTTTGCAACTTCAGGGATCTTATCTATGCACAATCAGCTTGTAACACTCCAAAGAGAAAGGAAAACTTGAAATCGCATCATATGACCCCTTTAATATAAAAATAAATACAGCATGCTTTTATACGGGTCTGACACCAATTACCAGTTAACAAAACTCAAAGGAATGTGTACAGGATCTTTGAAAATAAAATTCCCAAAAGGATCAAATATCTCAGTAGAACATCAAATTTAATTTAAGGAAAATGTGTGCTTTTAGTACTCTTAAAATAAAGGTTCTTTATTGGCTTCAGTGGTTCCATAAAGAACCTTTAACATCCATGGAATCTTTGCAGGTTCTTAGTGGAAAAAGGTTCTTTAGATTATTAAAATGTCCTTCACACTGAGAAAAAAAATGGTTCTTTTAATAACTGTTCACTGAAAGGTTTTTTGAGGAACCAGAAATGGATCTTCTATGGCATTGCTGCAAAAATAAACGTAAACATTACACAAATCTAACAAGAATCAAAAATTCTGCAATTTCAGTTCTAGTATGATTCATAGATGATTCTTATTAGATCCCATTGGGATTCCAAATTATGAGAGGACAGGAATAGGATCCTGTATACATTCCTATATATGATCATGACCATGGGTAAAATACATAATCAAGAGTTATTCTGTAACTAAAAGGGAAGGATATTATTCCAATATTAGTTGGAAATGGACAAGATGTCAGAGGAATTTAGAAGTTAATGCAGTGAGGTGAAACGTGGGCTAAGAAAGTACAACATCCAACAACATAACTTTGAGGCACACCTTATACACAATTAGTATATGTACCTCTATGCTTAAATGTTTCATTTTTATTTTAAAATCCAGCTTTTATCATAACCTACACATGCTCACTCAGATGATTTTTATAGGCCACTATTGCTTTCATTGTCCAATAAATTATTTGAGACATTGATCCTTTAAAACGCACTTACTAGCTGTAACGAAACAGGTTATCAGTATATTTTTTTGGAACAGAACGTCTTATATATTAACAAAGTTGGATCTGATGGCCTCAATACTGCTTGACAATATAATTCAATATTTTGATTCATCTTATAAGACATTTATAAATTCAAACAACCTAATAACTGGTTCATTCTCAGGAGCGGTGCTTTATCTCCCAATGACTTACGATAGCTATTATTAACAAGATAGAATGTAGTCAAATTATTTATTAACAATTGTTTAAAATAGTCTTTTATATCAGAATATTTGTCAATTTGTGTCAAATTCATTACCAAAAACAAAACCTTTCTATCTACCCAAATTCTGCATTTATTGAAATTATTATATTTTATATAAATAATTATAATAATTGAGTGATGCTATATGAATTCATATAGTTGTCTATTTTTAAGTATATCTATATCTGTTTTATAAGTTTATGGATTCACCATTTTTAACTAGTTCAAAAGTTTGAGGTCAGTATTTTTTTCTTCTAAAGAAATTTTTTTCAGCAAGAATGCATTCAACTTATTAAAGCAGCACAACTGTTTTCAGCATTGATAATAATCAGAAATGTTTCTTGAGCAGCAAATCAGCATATTAGAATGATTTCTGAAGATCATGTGACACTGAAGACTGGAGTAATGATGCTGAAAATTCAGCTTTGATCACAGAAATAAATTTAAAACATTAAAACAGAAAACAGTTATTTTACATTGTAATAATAGTTCACAGTATTACCGTTTTACTGTGATTTTATCAAACAAATGCAGTCTAGGTGAACTTAAAGGAATAGTTTACCCCAAAATTTCTGACATTTACTGTATGAATTTCTTTCTTCTGTTGAACAGAAAAGAAGATGTTTTGAAGAATGTTGGTAACCAGTCAGTTGCTGGTAGCCATTGACTTCCATAGTATGGAGAAAAAAAAATCAAAAGTCAATGGTCAAACTTTCTTTAAAATGTCTTATTTTTTGTTCAACAGAAGAAAGAAATTCATACAGGTTTGGAACAACTTGAGGGTGAGTAAATGACTAATTTGACTAATAAAATGACTAATAAATTTCTTCATTTTTGGGTGAACTATCACTTTAAGAGGCTTTCAAAAACATTAAAAACTCTCAAAAACCACAAACATTTGAACAGTAGCGTAATACTTTAGGATCAGGCTTAGGAATGCTAAATAACTATTTGTACTTAGAAAGGATATAACTGCATATTTAGGATTGAGGGTAATAGTTTAAAAACTGGCAACTTTGTTGATCAGTAATGGTGTTCAGGCCTGAGTTGGAAAAATCTGTTTTTTTAACTGAATCCCGTTGGTTAGGAGGATTACATTAGCACAAAGTGCAGCAATATCCTGTACCTGGAGGGAGGAGCGAGTCAGACTCACTGCTTTACTCTCCGCAGACTCGCACATTTGACTATTTGAGCACCTCCCCTCTTCACATCCACAACATCCGGCTATGGCGGAGAGCAGGTGGGGCGGGAGAGGAGAGGAGCGGATCCAGGGGAGCACAGAGAAATGAAGGGATGGGAGTGTGAATGAGTAACAAGGAGTAACGGAACAGATGGAAGAGGGCAAAGTGAAACAATTAGGTGATGTGTTAACGGAAAAGAGATCAAGTTCAATAAGCAGAACGTGCAATATAACACACAAAACAAGAAGATAGCATGGAGAAGAGAGGCATGGTTCAGGAGAAAATAAATGGGGGGGATATAGAGAACAGGATAGAAAGAGAAAAGCAAATAGCATCAGAAAAGGCCAGCACAGAAGGATGGGCACATTCACAGTCTGGGCAAAGAGAAGTTTAATTCAAGTCGAGCGCATACAGGGAAACGTGACATGAACCATATAGAAACGAATGATAATGAACATCAAATGAAGTTATCAATGAGGGTTAACTGGGACGCCCACAAAGAGGAATCACATATGAAATCCACCCGGTGATGTCATTTCCTTTACAAGATCTGAAAGTCTCATTCCTAAAAGTCACAAGCAGCACAGGCTTTGTACAGAATGAATACTAATGCATTGCTTACCACATACTCCACAGTATACACTGCATAGTGCTTACTACACTGTAAAAAGTGGTAACCTGCAATTATTACCTTAAATATACTTCATTTTAACCCATAAAAATGGTTTTGTTGGTATAAATGTTTATAGGTTGGTTTAGTGATGTTGCATAATATTTTTGATTTTACCATTTTTTTCAGTGTATTTAAAAATAGTATGTGAAACAATACACTCTAAAAAAAAAATGCTGTGTTGTTTCAACCCAACTTTGGGTCAAATACAGACTAACCCAACTTTTGGGTTAAAATTTTAATTCAAAAATTTAACTCAATGGTTGGGTTAGTCCATATTTGACCCAAAGCTGGGTTGACACAACACAGCATTTTTTTAAGTGTATGCAGTATTCAGTGCTTTAAACAGTAGTATGCAACACAGGACTTCAGTATGTTTAATTTAGTGAGTGATTTCCAGTCATGTTCTTGGAAATACATTTAAATGAAATTAATAACACAATCAATAAATTTAATTTAAATAAAATATTCCAACTTTGTGCGAAATGTCACACCATTTGTCAGTCAGATTAAATAGTGAGTAAAGAAAAAGGTGTTAAATATGGGTTGATGATTTTGGAAATGGATTCTTCTGTATACTGCAAATAGGTCAGTATTCCATGCATACAGCTAGTTTGCACAGTACATACTGCATACTGCAGAAATAGTAGTATGAGTAGAGTAGCATGGTCCTATTAAATGGCACAACATTAGGCCTGCAAAATGCAATGTTATTTTTCTGCAAATCACACTGAACATCATTAATTCTGGTTCTGACTGATTCCTCTATTTGGAACGGAAAGAAAATCAGGAAATGAAAAAAGTGCCCAAGAGAAAGTATAACAATGATGCACTGGGGTGATATTAAGCACTGAACTCCAATGATATGATTACTTAAAATTCTAATATTAAGGACAAATTTATTAAAAGTTTCTAAAGTTTAAAGTGCATCTATACAGGCTTACAAGCTTCTCACATTATCCAGAGCATGTATTGTCCTCCCAGCATTTCAGTAACTTGGGACATGTTATTTATCCTTACAAATGTCCTTTTCTTCAATAACCTGGAGAACTCTTGTTGTGTTTCTTAAAGGTGAAATGTTTAATTTCCTGTAAAGGATTCATGGAGCATTCTTGCAGATACACTATAATCTTCAGTCTTATGTGGAGCACATCTATATGCTGCGTCTTCTATAAGATCTATCATGCAAAAAAAAAAAAGGAAAAGAAAGAAAAAAGAAAAAAAACGTAGGTGTTTCCTGGTCTAAGCCTTTACTATATTCAAGCATCTAGCAGCATATTCCTCCTCAAACCACCACATACTGTCTGTCCTGGCGTAACAAGCCCAGCTAACTCAAAAGCCCACCTTGCTGTCACGGCCCAGGATGGCATAGCTCATGTACTGTTCTCCATCAACGTCTGGCTCATTGATATCCTGCGACAGCCCTTCTATGATGAGCTCCTGACCCCCTTCCTCCCCTTTTCCTCTCCGGACCACCTTCCTCACAATCTACGTCACGGATGGGTGAAATCATTGACAATTGGTGGATGAGCCGAGGGTGCATGAGAAGGAATGAAGGAGAAAATGAAAAACAATGTAATAAACATGCAAAAGTAATGTCAAAGTAATTTGCAAGTCAGGTTCACCTTGGGTGACCATATGTGCCATTTTTCCTGGACACATCCTGGCCAAGATTTCTATATTGTCTAAACTAACCAGGTTTTGGCTTTGTTTACTCTGCGTAGACCAATCGGTGTTATGATATCAAAGTACTGTGAGAGCTATAGAGAGCAGACGCTCCTTATGCTTTCGAATCGCTCTCGCAGTTCTTTGATGTCATACACTAATAGTTCTGCACAGCACTGCTTCAAGTCAAACACACCTAATATGTGCGTTTGTGAGGAATTTGCATTGCTTTGACCGTTCTCTGTAGATCCCACCTTCTCACGCGCCACGATTGGTCGATTATGTACAATTCCTGCATGTTATTGGTCAAACTACTTTTCGATCATTACCTTCAGCCAGTATGAAAACAGGAAAACAAAGCCAAAACCTGGATATTTTAGGCAATATAGAAATCCTGGCAAGGACGTGTCCAGGAAAAATGGCACGTATGGTCACCCAAGGTTCACCTTCAAGAGTATCTCAACATAAACATGCGTTTCTTTGTCAACCGCTACTGAATTACTCTGTTCAATTTTTACTTCATGTTGACTTTAAGAACTGTTTCAAAATTTAGTGAGCTGCCTTGCTGTCTGCTACCTATACAGACACCTTCCTAACCCCATGTGGCACATTTAAGTGCTTTACATAGACACATAGACAGTATAATATAATGCATAATATGTTTAAAATAATGCATTTGGATTACACAGCTTTAACATAAAGAAACTAATAAACTTTATGTGATGCATATTTGTCATTCATAGATGAATGAAACTCCCTAAGCCGTTTATTAGAAACACTCAGCTAGCAGCATTGACTAGTTTTCTGTAATTTAAAGGGGCTGTATATAGAATTCAGAAACATCTTGGTTACGTATGTAACCCTCGTTCCCTGAAGGAGGGAACGGAGATGTTACGTCAGAATGACGTTAGGGTTAGGGTTAGGCTAACCCTAACCCTAACCCTAACCCTAACCCTAACCCTAACGAGCCAATGGACAATATTTGTGTACGAGATTTCCATTGTGAACCCCTCCCGCACAGCGGGTATATAAGGAAGAGCGTGCGCAATCGCACATTCACATTCAGGGACGTCTCTGTTCCCTCCACATAATACTCTGGATAACAGAGGTTGCATGAGAAGGCATGATGTCCTCGAACCGCGCCCTGCTGCCTGCTGGCGACCGAAAAGGGTGATGAGAGTGGCGAGGCACAGCGTCGCACACTGCAATCCGCACCCTCTTGGGACCCAGAGAAAGAGGAAACTCCTCTTTTCATGAAATTTTGGGTACCGCTGACTGTGAGGCCAGTGGTGGAACAGAACTCAAACTTAACAAAAGATTCTCCACCCGGCCCTTCTCCGGGGGAAGGAGTGGTGCGATCACCATCTCCTGAAAAGCAGGATCTTGTATCCCTAGGTCACCTGACTCAGGGACGCACTTGGTCTGATGCTATACAGGCCTGGTAGGGGCCGAGACGGGCTGCACAGCTTTCCTGTGGCCCGCTCCACACTGCGGCTTAGGTGGAGGCTACTGCTGTGGCCGTGTGGGAGCAGAGCTGGGGGCCGCAGGAGGGCACCCACAGTGACAAACAGATGGAGGGGCTGCAGCCGGTGGCAAGGTGGAGACAGCAGCGGGCCGCCGGGGCAGGGTGTACTTGATTGCCTCCATCTGCTTTTGTGTGGCCAAGAACTGTTGGGCAAAGTTCTCGACTGCGTTGCCGAAGAGGCCAGCCTGGGAGATCGGGGAGTCAAGAAATTTGTATTTGTCGGCCTCCCTCATATCTGCCAGATTCAGCCATTGGTGGCGTTCCTGGACCACCAGGGTGGACATTACCGGACACAGGGACCATGCAGTGACTTTCATCGCTCGTAGGGCGAGTTCTGTCAATGTGTGCAGCTCCTACATCAAACCTGGGTCAGAACTAACCTCGTGCATTTGTATTAGTGCCTTGGCCTGAAAAACTTGCAGGAGGGCCATGGCATGCAAGGCAGAAGCAGCCAGTCCAGCAGCTCTGTAAGCCTTGGCCGTAAGTGTGAACTTACAGGCCTTGGATGGGAGATGCAGATTACCCCGGCAGGCGGAAGCACTCTGCGGGCACAACTGCATTGCAATAGCTCTCTCGACTTGGGGGATCTTGACGTATCCCTTGGCTGCTCCACCATCGAGGGTAGTGAGGGCAGAGTAGGGTGCCCTCCACGACTTAGTTACCTCTTTATGCACCTCCGGAAAGAAAGGTACCAGGGATGGATGCTGATGGTCAGCGTGTTGCACCCCCAGGTACCAATCATCCAGCCTCAAACGTTCGGGACACAGTGGAGGCTTCCACAAGAGTCCGATGCTCTCGGCGGCCTGGGAAAGCATAGCTGTCCGCTCTGGGTATGACTTGGTCAACGCTACCTTCCCCAAAGTGGGCAATGCAGCCAAATCTTCATACTCTGAGGACTCTAGCTCACCCTCCGATGCAGCGATTGACATCCAGTCCACCGCCTGAGCCCCGAATGAGACGCTAGGTCCCCCATTAAAAGTACCAGCACCGTCATCCGGAAGCTCCACAGCTTGCGATGTGCTAGAGGAGTGAGGGGCCCACAGAGACATACTCGGCAGGGGAGCCCTCACTGTGATCCTCAGGCCACCCTGGCTATTCGCTGAAGTAGTCTTCCCCGTGAGGAGGAACTAGATCAGGGTATAGCAGAGGAGACTCCACCTCGTTTGAGGTACTCGAGCCTTGAACACAACATCACAATGGTCATTTTCCCGCAATGGGAACTTGACTCATCCACGAAAGCCAGCTCAGCGTGCTTTAAGTCAGGCACGTGAGACAGCGATTGTGATTGTCAGACAATCCAGAAACACATGGGTGGAATGACATCTTTAAAAAGATGCAACGTCACATTCGTGTCACTCTTTTAGGGAGATTGCTCTTTTCAAGTGCTGAAGCACCCAGGGGAAGGTCGCAGCACAACTGACATACCGTTACTTATCTGCAGCGTGCAGAAGGCTCTTTTAGAAAGCTCCAGTGGCAACAGGAAATGCACCAACGAACGCGACCACCGCTGACGTGCCGTCACACCAACACCATTTTACAGAGCTTCCAAACGCTCGTACTGCACACTCTCAGACGATTGCTTTAGAACACAAACGCTCGGCTCTGAAGCAAAAAGCTGAATGTACGATTACACACGCTCTTCCTTATATACCGCTGTGCGGATGGGATGCGCGATGCAAATCTCGCATGCCAATGTCCATTGGCTTGTTTTGTTACAATCAAAGGTGATTGAGCTCTCAGGGGAGATCCCAATTCGTCAGTAATTCTGATGTAACGTTGAACGTGACTGACTGAAAGGCAAAAACATCCTGAGTCCTACGTCTACGAGGGCAGCTCATTAAGCTTTGGAACAGAGCAAGAATTTTTCAATTTTCATTTGCAAAGCTTAACAAAATGATTACTGAGATGCATTTGAGATGGATTTCAAATGCGAATGAGCGGAAATGACTTTGCTGCAGGCAAAGAAGCAGGATGAGACTGCTGACCTTTTTAGTGACGATGTTGCCATGCTCATCTGTAAATTGCTCCTCGCTCACTTGCTCTCCTGGAAGATCCTCTGCCTCATCACCCTAGATGAGATATGATAAAAGCAACTTAAAAAGGTGACATGGTCCTTTGTGTGCTTCACTCATTCTTTGGTTTGACATGCTCGCAACCATCCTGTGTCTAGTCAAAATATGTTGGCTAAAGGTCAAAATGATCCGTATTTAAAATCCGCCTTTAAAATTAGCAGTGTATCACTATTCAACTACAACGCTCCTATGCAAACAAGGACTCCAGAGAGTGAGCATCAGCTGGCTGCTGGTTTCAGATTTCACACATTCACAGCTTAAAGCTGCTGTTAAGGGAATTATTCTGCTCTCTGTAATAAACATATTTTAAAAGGATGAATATGTATAGTCAGATTTATTCCTCGGTGCACCATTGCAATCTGAGTAAAAACAACAGCAAATTACATACTTATAAACACAACATAAATGATTTTAAATGAAATACTGACAAACCACCCATACAAAAGCTAAAGCTTTGATACAGAGGTCAATGTATCTATCATGAGTGGGATACATCACTGTTTACCAGTGTTTCCAGCTGGTATTGTGGATTTGTGATGCAGGGTGATAGAAATGCCAATACCAAATAAAAATAATGAAAAAAGCACAATTTAATGATTAAATGCATGAAATGAAAACATTAAAAAACTAGTCATTAAGTCTTACATTGATTATATTTACTAGGACATCTACAAAGTATTTTAACTTTGTTACTGTATTTTTTTAAGTACCTGTTATATATCAGAGTATTTTTCATTTGGGAAAGGTTTAATCTACTACATTCCAAAGCATAATATCATACTTTTCCCCCCTATTATATTTAATTAAAAAATGTTGCTCCTTGTTATGTCGAACTGAAGAAACTGACACCTGCTCCCAGATGTGATAATGATATCCGATTCACAATCAAACTGATTCTTTTCAATGAACCCGTTGAATTGTTTGCAAATTGCAATGAATGATTCATTTGTGAAATGTACTGATTTGATTGCAGCTGTTGATGATATAAATCAATTGCATTCTTCCTAAAATGTTAACAGATTTTACCCCATTTTACAAATCCGTTTTTATATAGTCACCAGCACCACACATTTACACACATTGTTTTTCTTCATTTTAAAATACTAAATAGTATATTTTATTTTCACTTGTTTGCACACTTGAATTATCAGTAACTTAATTAGATATTTTAGTATACTGAAGTTTAATGTTTTGACAATGCATGTTTTGGTATTAAAATTACATTTTTGCTTATTTGCAGATCAGTACATACGTGTCTTCTTCCAATAATCTTCCTTATTAAAATTGCAAAATAAGTAAACATTGTTCAATGGTCAGTAGTCAGTACATTTTAATTTTAATACTTAAGTACAATTAAAATCAACTACTTTTGTAATTTTACTCAAGTTAAATTAAAAAGAAGAACTTATATTCTTAAAGAAGTAATATTTTGTTAGGGTATCTGTACTTTTACTCAAGTACTTGAATTGAGTACTTTGTCCACCACTGAAATTATTCTTTTTTTTATTAATTATAATTTTTTTACTACTGAAATTATTAATTTTTTAATTTTTTAATTTTTTTGTGAAACCTCAAAGAAACATATTTTTAAAACCTATTTTCACTATTAACCAATTTTCACTATTAACAAGTTGCTTATTAGCATGCATATTACTAGTGTATTGTCTTTGGATTAGTACTTATAAAGCACATATTAATGTATTATTCTGCATGAGCATATTTTAGATCCCTTAATCCACCCCATACCTAAATTTAACAACTACCTTATTGACTATTAATAAGCAGCAAATTAGGAGTCTATGGAGGCAAAAGTCGCAGTTAATAGTTAATAGTTAATAGTGAGAAATGATCTCTAAACTAAAGTGTGACCAAAAAAAGCATGTCCATGACCCCTTTAAAAAAGTATCCTCCAGGAGGTCAGCAGACAGGAAAGGTTGCCAATCGTTTATTTAATGTATAAAACCTAACAAATTTACAAAACAGTTTATGTGAAAAGTGCAAGAAAGATGTGTCTGAGGAATGTTGGAATTCAACATGTGTCAATGACTAGACTAACCTCTAATACAGAGCCTGTAACATCCAGTGTTTAGTGCCATATGGCTGCTTTAACATTCACAATAATGTTCTATAAGAATAATTCTTTACTCACACCGAATCAATTATTTGTGCACTGTACTACTGTTCTTACAGACCACTGGCATTTCATGCTTGTTTGCAGGAGTGCACTCAAATGAGGCCAAATGAAACTGAAACTAACCACTCAAGCATCACTGTAATCCCCTAGATTTACAACCTTACACATTTCACTACAGCTGAAGTCTCTCTTTTAGGGCAGCGTCTTTAAGAAATATTCCGGATTAAATATCGACAACAACCATCGGTACCTTCAATATAACTCTGCGGCGCACAACTCGAGTGGTGACATTTTCCTCTTCGTCAGCCACACTTTCATTCTCACCCAGCTCACGATCCAATTGAGTGTGAATGCAGGCCAGCACCGATCGGACAGAGCTGCTGGCGATATGCAAGACGTTATGGCAGCTGATGACCATGAAGGCCAACAGCACGAAGCTGAACAGCAGTTCAGTCACTAGTGCCCACATAGTGTGGCGTCACTCTCACACAAGCACTCAGAAACACGCTCCAACAGCGAGGTGAGGTCCAGAGATTTGGGGAATGATGTTATCTTCCCCTAGTTTCCCCTAGTCTTCCACTCTTTCCACAGCTTTCATTTGAAGAAAGCAGGCAATTCTTAATCCGAGCCTATTCCTTCCTCGGCCATTTCTTTATTCAGCTGTGTTGGGAATGTGGTTGGCTTTAGCTTCCTTTTTTGACTGCACTCTCTCTCTCTCGCTCTCTCTCAGCTTTCCAAAAACACATCCCTTCTGTCCAGTGTCTGATTGCACATGTGATCTGTATGCTTTAAATACCCACAATGTGAGGACAACTCTCTTGTTGCGGGCCCTTAGTTTAGGAGTGAACGAACAGCTGCTAACATTTCAACAACAGCATTTTCACACCAGGTGCCTCCTTTGGTTTACATGTAGTATTACAGAGTTAAACTAAGCAGACATTTGCATCAATTACACAATAGAAATTTTCGTCAGAATGTTTGTGTCAGATTACTTTCAAGTTTCATGCTAATTATTAAAAACAAAGACGTTTTTTATTAGACTTACACTACTGGTCAAAAATTCTGGGTCAGTAAGATTTTTAAAATGTTTTTAATGTGTGTAAAAATAGTACAGTAAAAAAAAACAGTAATATTGTGAAATAGTTTTACAATTGAACATAACTGTTTTCTATTGTAATATATTTTAAAAAGTAATTTATTGTTGTGATGCGCAGCTGAATTTTCAGCATCATTACTCCAGTCTTCAGCGTCACATGATCTTCAGAAATCATTCTAATATGCTGATTTGCTGCTCAATAAACATTTCTGATTATTATCAATGTTGAAAACAGTTGTGTTGCCGAATATTTTTTGTGGAAATCTTGATACTTTTTTTCAGGATCTTTAAATGAATAGAAAGGTCAAAAGAACAGAATTTATTTAACAGAAATCTTTTGTAACATTATACATGTCTTTACTGTTACTTTTAATCAATTTAAAGTGTCTTTGAATACAATCGAGCAGGAGCAGCACTTTAGATGACAAGTAGATATAGACAAGTTCTATATTTAGAAACCAATGGGTTGTGTCCATCTAGGGGCTGGCTGTACTCTATATGTATCTCCCTCTTTCTCTCTCTCTCTCTGTGTGTGTGCCACCACAAACGAGTGCAAACAATTGTGTCCACTAGAGTTTCTAGCAGCCTTAGGGAAATAAATGCTTTTCTAAGCAAAAACTTGATTGATATTTGTTAGAGCTAATTATCCATGTCTACTTATTATAAGCCACTTTGGGCTTGTTTTTTAATAGAGTCACTTGTAATATGGTCTGTCACAGACTCACAGACACATTTTGGGCTTGCTGGTGCTTGGTCTCCATAGCACAATGCAGTCAAACTGACCACTATGACTGACTGACCACCATGCTAACTGCCTGTCAAGACCTGAGGCTCCACCCGAACATTACCTTTGTAACGTTTTATTTAAAATTGCACAGCAGTAATATTGAATAGAATTAAGTGCCATTTAAAATCTGTATTTACTTTTACTATTACATTTTACTATTTACTATTACATCGATAAAAGCAAAATACTACTCTAGAGTTTATTTCTCTTGTGAACTAAGGAGCTATGGACGTTGGATACTTTCCTGAGGTAAATGCAGCGTTACATGTTCACAAGCTGTTTTGTTGCCCGTGGTTGATTCAAATGAGTCATGATGCATTTTAATAATTTGTACTGTATCTTTCAACATACCTTCTGAAGTTTATTCACAGTGCTATAGCTAGTAGTAAAGTGGAAAAGGTGACCTGTTCACTCGTGCTCCACGGTTCCGCGTAAATACAGTTATTTATTGGTTAGTTACTCATTGACACTTTTTGTTCCATCTTGAATAACATGATGCTTCCATAATGCGTTTGTATCAGTATAGCGTTGTTTGCATAGCTGAATTGTAAAGCGCTGTTTCTCTGGCATTTTCAAAGGCATGTAAAATATAATACTGTGCCTTGGCTTGATACACAGTCTAATGGTCTAACGAAATCCAAATATTTGACTGTACCAATTTTTATAGCCCTTATATTTCCTATTTGAGCCAATGCAGATGAATGAGTAAAGTTATTTCAGGGTGAGACCGCCATAATTTGTAAAGCAAAACGTGATTGACTATCGCAAGAATGCGCTACGATTGCGCAGTAAAGTGTGGCTGTTATCTGATTGGCTTGAGTAGATGGTGGGTGGAGACCACGTATTTGTGGATTTGTCAGCACGTCTTGACGCTAGAAATGTTTCAAAATCCACAAATGAATGCCAGGCGAATTTGTGTTAAATTGTGACACAAAAAAGATATTTGTGAATATGTTTTTTATTTGCAAATCTCATTTTAT